GTTGTACCATGGTCCCCCCCCACAAAAAAAAAACTTCCCCATCATTACAGCTTTCTAGTGGAAGTGCTGGTGTTGAGCAGCCACTAGCATTTTGGTGACCATGTTTCATAGTTTCATAGATGTTAGGATCAGAAGGGACCTATTAGGTCATTGAGTCTGACCCCCTGCCCTGGGCAGGAATGAGTGCTGGGGTCAGATGACCCCAGCCAGGTGTCTGTCCAATTTCCTTTTAAATACCTCCAAGGAAGGTGACAGCACCACCCTACTGTTATTCAACTCTACTCAGACAGTACAGTGGGCATGAGTTAGCAATATTGTTACCCACTGGTGCTAGCATTGGCAGAGCTGTGTTAGTTGTAGCAATGATAAAAGGTAAAAAGATAAGTGTAGATCAGGCTTGTCCAACATATGGTCAAGGCATTTTCTGTGGCCCGCGGCGCTGCGACGTGAGTTGATTGGTAACTGGGAACAGAGCAGCTCAGCAGCCAGGCCTGCAGTAGTGTCTCCCTTCCCTGTCCCAAGACAGACAGAGTCAGTCCCACAGCACCCATGGCACGAGTTTTGCTTGTCTGTAGCTTGAGGGGCAGTTCCCCCCAAACCCCTGCACCGATCTTCTTGAAACTTGGCAGGCTTTGTGGCCTCCGTAAGAGCTACCAGCCCTGCCATTTTGACCCCCCTGTGGTGTAACACACAGCCCTGACATGAGTTTGGCTTTCATGAATTTGGGGTACAGTTCCCCCCAAACCCCTGCACCGATCGTCTTGAAACTTGGCAGGTTTCATGCTCTCAGCAGAAGCTACCATCCCTGCAAGTTTTGTCCAAATTGGACAAAAAACAACAAAGTTACAGCTATTTCATTGATTTCCCCCATTATACCCTATGGCCGGATTTCTGATGCGGCTCCGAAGCTTCAGAGCCACTTCGGCCGGATCGAGGCGGAAACCCGGTCTGGAGCTCAGGATCGGATCGCGGCCATCAGAAGCAGCCAGATCCGAAGCCAGATCGGATCACTGCCAACTTGCACAGGCCTAGTAGATAAGACCATGGAGCTTTTTCAGCTGAGTCCATATCTGGAGCACATTCAATAAAAGCGCTACACTCTGGCATCTTTTAGACTTGAAATACAGAAGTTGCTTTGGGCTGTGTTAGCTGTAAAGCATTAAATACAACCTCAAAGCACCGTAGGAATCACGTGGAAGCAAAACCCATGCCAGAACTAGTGGAACAAAAGCAACAGTACAAGGGAGATATGCATTTCAGCCCCTTTCCCTGCTCTAGTCTTGGCAAATGATGTCCAAATGCCTTTCAAAGCACTCTATATTCAAGTTTCTGAAAGCAACTCCCAAGTAAGCATTGAAATACTAAGCCAAGCTGAAATTGCTACTTTTACTACATTCCTTAGCATTCAAGGGTGGACCAGGTATTGCTAGGATATTAGCACTAGCACTTCTTGGGTATCTGTCATAGGATCCACTCCTAATTTAGAAATGTCAGAGCAGGTTTAGAAAAGCAGACTGACTGAGGCCACAAGGGTGAAAGGCCCATCGTACAAGGAGTTCCAAAGACAGGGCAAGCAGAGAAGACTTATTTAAGGAGATGAATGGGAACATGGACACAGAATGAGCATATAGGTTCAGAGAGAAGTCACTGTTGAAAGGCACAGCAGGGATCTTGGAAAAGGCATGAAAAAGAAGACCAGTTCATGAAGAACAAGGAAGGGATGCAAAGATATATAAGGGACAAGGAGATGCAAAAGGCAATTCCATTGGGAGATATTTACCATGTTTTTTTTTCCCTAAGGGCACAATTAAAGCTGACAGCTGGTTTAATCCAACTAGTTCCTACAACTCTGTACTAGTTACCCAACACCAAGAAACCAATCAAAACAACAGTAGTTATTGGACTACTCGCTACTTTCCAGCTCCCTCAGTTTTCCCCCAGGGCCCATACTCCTCCACTCAAGTGTTTCCAAACAAGATATTCTCTTCTCAGGATATGGAGTATCTCTCTATTGCACTTGTACATATATTTTTGATAGTGCAGCTGGCAGGCAAACTTGCCAGACTGTTCTTCTTTGTAAATCTCCCTTCTTTAATGTCAACACAATCAATTTACTCCTCCATAAGCCCCCTCACAAGAGCATAAATTCATTCAGAATACAGTTCCACCACCTGAAAAGCTCAATCCCACAATCCTTCACTCCTCCATAAGCTTCCTTGCCATACAAATAAAGACAGCTGGATAATTTCTAAAGGTTGCTTTTAAATACATAGTTAAGTAAGTGGTGGCTACTTTTTTTATTTCACACCCTGAAAGCATGCCCATAACATGCTGCACAAACTAAACATGCCAACTACAGGCGGAGCCAACAGCTGCAACCACTTGTCTGTCCGGCTGTGCTTAGGCTAATGCCAGTCCAGCTGCCTCAGCACTCCACTATTAATTGGGAACTTCACTTTGCCTTCACATACTTTGTGCAAAATGCAGCAGGTGGATTGTGCCCTCATTAGCTGCTGAGCCGACTTTGGAAGCAAAATGAGGCATCTGTGGATCTGCAGTCTCCCAAGCACACACTACTGCACCACCATCCTACATCTGTTTGTCTCTCCAAGTTTGGATGGTCAAGATGAAGTTGTGTTCTCCAGGGCAGAAGTGTGCACCAGCCAGAATCACAGCAGGGCTAGAAACACCCGATGACAGCATTGTTCAGTGTGCTTAAAGTACCCATCTGCCTGCTCACAAGAAGTTAGCAACATACAATCCCTCTGTGTGTCTCACACTCATCCACTGTACACTGTAACAAACCTGACATGGTGAGCTAGTTTGGATTGCCCCTGTCCATTAAGATGTTCCCAGGTTTGTTGGAGAGGCAACACAGGCCAGGATTCAGAAAGGGCCCATAGGTCACCATTTAGCTGCCTCACATATTTAAAATCCTGGCTAATCCAGGACACTGTGTTCCAGCTAATGCACTGCATTACAGCAGCACCCTTCATAGAATTTGTCACCCCCAACTGGGGCCCAAATAACTGATATGTATGCAGAAGACCCAGCTTCCAAGTGACCCAAGATATTTACACAGCCCCTGTGATTCTACAGCCAGGGAACAAAGTTTCTCACAATGTGTTTTCCTTCTATTTTCCAGCTAGGAAATTATGGAAGAGGGGGAGAGGTACCTTGCTCAGTGTCAGAGAGGGCATCTGCAGAACAAGGAATTGAACCCAGGTCTTGTAAGCTCCAGGTCTGGGTCTAAATCACTGAGTCATCTCTAAGACAGCTAATATGAAAAGGCACAGTGTTGTAGTCCTGTCCTGAGGGCCCAGTGTTGCCATTTCAGGGCACAATCACCGTATCAGTACAGAAGAGTTTCCTTCCTCATTTTGAAATCCTATATCCATCCTAGTAACCTGGTAGAGTTGTGTGCATCCTGGCATTGATAGCAAGTCTATCCTGTTCACTGGGTTAGGGGCTGTCCCCTACATAGCACACAGCTAACTTGGAAGTTATCTAGTAGTTAGGGAGGAATTTGTACTATGAATGTCAAATATGGCTATGGCCTCAACTGTCCAGCTCAATGGTTGGCTGGAACTCCCTCCACACCTTCATTATAGCCATTTCAAGGCACCTCGTGATTGGAGGAGCAAAAGCATTGGCCTCCCTTTTTAGAGGAGGAACAAAAAGCTGTACTGTCACCAGGGGAGCTGGCCCTCTGGGAGCACCACAGGGAGCACCACAAGGAGCTGCCCCTCTTCCATTTTCTTAAAGCTATAATTTCAAGAAGCCAAGACATATTTTTTTAGGGCAGGCAGAGACGTAACTAATAGGCCTGTGCAAAGCAGCTAGTACAGGGGTGGGCAAAATATGGCGTGCGGGCCGGATGCGGCCTGCCAAGCACTTCCCTCTGGCCCGTGGAGTCCCTTCAAAACCCACGTAATGGCGGCTGCCTCTCATGTAGGGGCGGCTGCCTCTCTAAAAGCCTCCAGCACCACCAGCTGCCGGCTATAGCACCTCAGGCTGTTTCCTTGGGTTCTGGTTGCGAGGCAACCGACCCTGCCCTCGCCCCGCCCCGGCTCAGGCCACGTTTGCAGCTTGAGAGGGGTGGGGGGGCTGGGCCAGAACCTGGTGGCGCCGGTGAGGGGAAACAGTGTCTGGGCCCACTTCTACTTTGCTCCATGGGACTGGAAAGGGCCCTGCCCTGCAGGTAAGCCCAGGAAAGCGGCTGCTGGGCAGGCTTTCCCCGT